ATTGCTCACCAAACCCTTCCAATATTTTCTGTTGGCCATGGGAGGTCTGTGTGCCAAGCTTAGTTCCAATTCCATTGTTGATGGAGTTCAGAATGCTCTTTGGTTGTAGGTTGACTATAAATGCCAGCAACTACAACTCCCAAATGACAAAATTCTCTCCCCCCCCCCCCCCCCCCCCCCCCAAACCCCACCAGTACTCCAATTTGGGCCTATTGAGTATTTGTGCCAAATTTGGTCCAGTGAATGAAAATACATCCCGCATATCAGATATTTACATTACAATTCATAACAGGAGCAAAAATTAGTTGTGAAGTAGCCATGAAAATAATGTTATGGTTGGGGGTCACCACAATATTAGGAACGGTATCAAGGGGTTGTGGCATTAGGAAGGTTGAGAACCACCGACTTAAGTGATCGCTTGTAGCCCAAGGATGGGGGTCCACCAAGTGTGGGTCCGTAGGTGGCTGTGGAGCCCTATCCTTGATCCGCATGTTCTTTTCCCACAGTGAGGACATGGGTTTCCAAGTGGAAGGTGGTCCTGGTCAGGGTTGGCTTGACGTGCCTTCCTCTTGGCACGTTCCTCCCTTTCGCCCTCCATTTGTGCCTCTTCAAATTCTGCAGTACTGCTGGTCGCAGCTGACCTCCATCTAGAGCGCTCAAGGGCCAGGGCTTCCCAGTTCTCTCACAGTGTCTATGCCACGGTTTTTAAGGTTGGCTTTAAGCCCCTCATTCAATCTCTTTTCCTGTCCACCAACATTATGTTTCACATTCTTAAGTTGGGAGTATAGTAACTGAGAGGAAACAAACAAGGACATCTAATCACCTCTCAACAAAAGTTTGCTCCAGGCACTGTCAGGCCATTATATGCTAATCAAGGTGGTCAGTTGAAACATTCACACCTAGCTCCAGCGGACAAGAGTCCTTTGTCCCACCCTAGTCATTCCACAGATACATAAACCCTTTTTCCTAGTTCCAACAGGCCTCACTACCTCTGAGGATGCTTGCCATAGATGCAGGCGAAACGTCAGGAGAGAATGCCTCTAGACCATGGCCATATAGCCCGAAAAACCCTACAACAACCCAGTACAGTAACTGCTTTGGGAGATGGTGATGTCTGTGCATTTCGACAACGTGGCCTGTCCAACGGAGTTGATGGTGGAGGACCATCGCTTCAGTGCTGGTGGTCTTTGCTTCTTCCAGCACGCTGACATTTGTCCACTTGTCTTCCCAAGAGATTTGCAGGATTTTCCGGAGGCAGCGCTGATGGAATCGTTCCAGGAGTTGCATGTGACACCTGTAGACAGTCCACGTTTCGCAGGCGTATAGCAGGGTTGGAAGGACAATGGCTTTATAGACAAGCCCCTTGTTCTCCCTACGGATGTCCCAGTCCTCAAACACTCTGTGCTTCATTCAGAAAAATGCTGCACTCGCAGAGCTCAGACGGTGTTGTATTTCAGTGTCAGTGTTGACTTTGGTGGAGAGGTCGCTGCCACAGCAGGGTTGGGAGGACAATAATTTTATAAACAAGCACCTTATTTTTATTTCTTTACTTTACTTATATACTGCTGTTCTCAGCCCGATGGCGACTCACAGCGGTTCACACCTTGGTCTCCCTACAGAAGTTCTGATCCTCAAACACACTCTGCTTCATTTGGAAGGATGCTGCACTCGCAGAGCTCAGACGGTGTTGTATTTCAGTGTCAGTGTTGACTTTTGTTGAGAGATGGCTGCTAAGGAAGCAGAAATGGTCCACATTTTCTTATGTTACACCATTAAGCTGTATTTCTGACATTGGAGAGGGATTGGCTGGTGACTGCTGGAAGAGGTGGAAGAGCTATTGTCCTCCCAACCCTACTATACGCCTGCGAGACGTGGACTGTCTACAGACGTCACATACAACTCCTGGAACGATTCCATCAGCGCCGCCTCCAGAAAATCTTGCAAATCTCTTGGGAAGGTAGGCGGACAAACGTCAGCGTGCTGGAAGAAGCAAAGACCACCAGCATTGAAGTGATGGTCCTCCGCCATCAATTCCACTGGACCGGCCATGTTGTCCGGATGCCCGACCACCGTCTCCCAAAGCAGCTGCTCTACTCCGAACTCAAGAACGGAAAACGGAATGTTGGAGGACAGGAAAAGAGATTGAAAGATGGGCTCAAAGCCAACCTCAAAAACTGTGGCATAGACACTGAGAACTGGGAAGCCCTGGCCCTTGAGCGCTCCAGCTGGAGGTCAGCTGTGACCAGCAGTGCTGCAGAATTTGAAGAGGCACGAATGGAGGGCAAAAGGGAGAAGCGTGCCAAGAGGAAGGCGCATCAAGCCAACCCCGACCGGGACCGCCTTCCACCTGGAAACCAATTAATGCCTTCACTGTGGGAGAAGATGCAGAGCAAGAATAGGGCTCCACAGCCACATACGGACCCACAAGAACACTGGAAGACAATCATCCTCGGAAAGCGAGGGATTGCCTAAGTAAGTAAGTAAGTAAGTAAGTAAGCTGGAAGAGCACTTTGGTTTTCTCTACCCAGATTCCCTGGGGCATCCTATTGAGAGCAGCAGAACCCAGTGAGTTTAGAAAGCTGCAAGTCAGACTGCATGAAGGCACATGAGAATGCATTGGGCTGCCCCTTGAGCCCCAAATGCGACCAGTCCATCCGTTCGGACACAGCCTGCCAGGCTCTAGAGAGGAAGAGAAGACCCTTCCCAGGACAAAATGCCTGCTAGGACGTGAGGAAGGGGGAATCCCAGGGCTTCTTTGGAGGGTCTCCCTTCCTTTTGCAGGATTTCCTTCCGCCCTTGCTCCTCCAGGTTGCTGACTCTGCAGAGGTGCCTTGACAGGGGGTCCTACTACCTATAGGGAGGGATGACATACACACACACACACACATGCCATTCAGCCAGTGTTGTGAGGGCATCTAGCGGCCCTTGGCCTGTATTGCTCCGAGGGAAAGGCAAAGCACACGCTAAGGCACCAGGATGAGAATGAAGCACACGCTCCAGGCCCCATGCCATTTGCCAAAGCCCCCTCCTCAGATCTCTCATTGGATTGGGAATGACAAAATAATTATCACACGGGTTGTTGTAGGTTTTTTTCGGGCTATATGGCCATGTTCTAGAGCCGTGATGGTGAACCTGACACTCGTGTCAGCACTGACACGCAAGGCTATTTTTGACGACGCGCAGACCCAGAGAAGGACACCTTATAAGAGCCAAACTAATTCCATCCTTAAATTGGTAAAAGGCTCTCCAAATTTAACATCTGCACATTGGAGCATTGTTCACTCTATAACTCAGCATGGATTATACATTTTACTTATTTAAACTATAAATATTGCCATTTCTTTCTTGAAGTGGCACCCCACCCAAGTTATGCTCAGGTTTTTGGCGAATTTTGACACACCAACCGCAAAAGCTTGTCCATCACTGTTCTAGAGGCATTTTCTCCTGACGTTTCGCCTGCATCTATGGCAAGCATCCTCAGAGGTAGTGAGGTCTGTTGGAACTAGGAAAATGGGTTTATATATCTGTGGAATGACCAGGGTGGGACAAAGGACTCTTGTCTGTTGGAGCTAGGTGTGAATGTTGGGCGATGCTGCATTTGAACTATCGAAGGCATTCATGGCCAGAATCACTGGGTTGTTGTAGGTTTTTCGGGCTATATGGCCATGTTCTAGAGGCATTTCTCCTGACGTTTCGCCTGCATCTATGGCAAGCATCCTCAGAGGTAGTGAGGTCTGTTGGAACTAGGAAAAAGGGTTTATATATCTGTGGAAAGACCAGGGTGAGACAAAGGACTCTTGTCAAAGATATAGAATGGGGGACAATGCCTGGCTCGAGAGCAGTACGTGTGAAAAAGATCTTGGAGTCCTCGTGCACAACAAGTTAAACATGAGCCAGGAATGTGATGTGGCGGCAAAAAAAAGCCAATGGGATTTTGGCCTGCATCAAGAGGAGCATAGTGTCTAGATCTAGGTCTAGATCTATTCCGCTTTGGTCAGACCACACCCGGAATATTGTGTCCAATTCTGGGCACCACAATTCAAGAGAGATATTGACAAGCTGGAATGTGTCCAGAGGAGAGCAACTAAAATGATCAAGGGTCTGGAGAACAAGCCCTATGAGGAGCGGCTTAAGGAGCTGGGCATGTTTAGCCTGAAGAAGAGAAGGCTGAGAGGAGATATGATAGCCATGTATAAATATGTGAGAGGAAGCCACAGGGAGGAGGGAGCAAGCTTGTTTTCTGCTTCCCTGGAGAGTAGGACACAATGGAACAATGGCTTCAAACTACAAGAGAGGAGATTCCATCTGAACATGAGGAAGAACTTCCTGACTGTGAGAGCCGTTCAGCAGTGGAACTCTCTGCCCGTGGTGGAGGCTCCTTCTTTGGAGGCTTTTAAACAGAGGCTGGATGGCCATCTGTCAGGGGTGATTTGAATGCAATATTCCTGCTTCTTGGCAGAATGGGGTTGGACTGGATGATGGCCCAGGAGGTCTCTTTGATTCTATGATTTGTGCCTCTTTGAATTCTGCAGCACTGCTGGTCACAGCTGACCTCCAGCTGGAGCGTTCAAGGGCCAGGACTTCCCAGTTCTCAGTATCCCTAGGATGCAGGTGGTGAATCCCAGGACTTGTTTGGAGGGTTACTCTTCCTTTTGCAGGATTTCCCTCAGCCCAGGCTCCTCCTCCTCCTCCTCTTCCTCCAGGTTGTTGACCCTACAGAGGTGCCTGGAAAGTGGTTCCTAATACCTATAGAGAGGGATGACACACACACGCACACGCCATTCAGCCAGTGTTGTGAGGGCATCTAGCGGCCCTTTGCCCGTATTGCTCCGAGGGTAAGGCAAAGCACACGCTACAGCAGGATGACGATTAAGCTCACGCTCCAGGCCCCATGCCATTTTTCAAAGCCACAGATCTTTCACTGGATTGGGAATGACAAAATAATTCTCCCACGGCATTATGCAGTTGGAAGGGATTCAAAGCAGGAATCCCACCAACGTCTACGTGGAGCCGGGGTTCCACATTAGGAGGCAGGCTGGCTTTCCCCATTCGTCGTCATTGAAGCATCTTTCCATCTGAAGACTCACGCAAGCATCAGCACGCATGTAAATGCGCCCTTCACGCATTCTGTGCAGTGTTCTGCCAAGTAGTTGCAAGGAGGAGTACGCCAAGAGGAAGAAGGCACTTGAAGCCAAGCCTGACCACCTGGAAATGGATGTCCTCACTGCAAAAGAAAGACCGTGCAGGTAAAGACTAGGTCTCTACAGTCACCGATGGACCCACCGCCAAGATCCTACGCTTTGCAAGCAATCAGATTCGGACACGAGGGATCGCCAATGATGATGGTGATGAGTTGCATGTGGGATAGATGGCAGGCAGACTTCATTATTCCTGGGGATTTGATTCTGTGTGTTCCTGCCTTGCAAGGGGTTGGACTGGATGGCCCTTGGGGCCGCTTCCAGCGCCAGGATTCTTTGATCTGATGATTCAATTAAGCTCAAGGTCAATTACTCAGAAGCCACCTGGTCCAGATCCCTTCTGCTAGGTAGGAAGGCACAATCAAAACCCTTCTGACAGATGGCCATCCAGCCTCTGCTTAAATTCTCCAGAGAAGGAGATCTGACATCTTCCCAGGTAGTCTATTCACTCTCAACTCTCATAGCCAAGGAGTTCATCCTAATATTTAAGGAGAATCACTTCCCTTGCCATTTGGATCCATTGATCCGTGTCTTTGTCTCTGGATCAGCAAAAAACATGCTGGCTCCCTCTCCTCCACGACATCCCTTCAGGTATGGACTGCACACTTGATGTATCATCATCATCATCATCATCATCATCATCATCATAAAACATGCTGGCTCCCTCTCCTCCACGACATCCCTTCAGGTATGGACTGCACACTTGATGTATCATCATCATCATCATCAGAAAACATGCTGGCTCCCTCTCCTCCACGACATCCCTTCAGGTATGGACTGCACACTTGATGTATCATCATCATCATCATCATCAGAAAACATGCTGGCTCCCTCTCCTCCACGACATCCCTTCAGGTATGGACTGCACACTTGATGTATCATCATCATCATCATCATCATCAGAAAACATGCTGGCTCCCTCTCCTCCACGACATCCCTTCAGGTATGGACTGCACACTTGATGTATCATCATCATCATCATCATCATCAGAAAACATGCTGGCTCCCTCTCCTCCACGACATCCCTTCAGGTATGGACTGCACACTTGATGTATCATCATCATCATCATCAGAAAACATGCTGGCTCCCTCTCCTCCACGACATCCCTTCAGGTATGGACTGCACACTTGATGTATCATCATCATCATCATCATCATCAGAAAACATGCTGGCTCCCTCTCCTCCACGACATCACTTCAGGTATGGACTGCACACTTGATGTATCATCATCATCATCATCATCATCATCATCAGAAAACATGCTGGCTCCCTCTCCTCCACGACATCCCTTCAGGTATGGACTGCACACTTGATGTATCATCATCATCATCATCATCATCAGAAAACATGCTGGCTCCCTCTCCTCCACGACATCCCTTCAGGTATGGACTGCACACTTGATGTATCATCATCATCATCATCATCAGAAAACATGCTGGCTCCCTCTCCTCCACGACATCCCTTCAGGTATGGACTGCACACTTGATGTATCATCATCATCATCATCATCATCATCATCAGAAAACATGCTGGCTCCCTCTCCTCCACGACATCCCTTCAGGTATGGACTGCACACTTGATGTATCATCATCATCATCATCATCAAAAACATGCTGGCTCCCTCTCCTCCACGACATCCCTTCAGGTATGGACTGCACACTTGATGTATCATCATCATCATCATCATCATCATCATAAAACATGCTGGCTCCCTCTCCTCCACGACATCCCTTCAGGTATGGACTGCACACTTGATGTATCATCATCATCATCATCATCATAAAACATGCTGGCTCCCTCTCCTCCACGACATCCCTTCAGGTATGGACTGCACACTTGATGTATCATCATCATCATCATCATCATCAGAAAACATGCTGGCTCCCTCTCCTCCACGACATCCCTTCAGGTATGGACTGCACACTTGATGTATCATCATCATCATCATCATCAGAAAACATGCTGGCTCCCTCTCCTCCACGACATCCCTTCAGGTATGGACTGCACACTTGATGTATCATCATCATCATCATCATCAGAAAACATGCTGGCTCCCTCTCCTCCACGACATCCCTTCAGGTATGGACTGCACACTTGATGTATCATCATCATCATCATCATCATCATCATCATCAGAAAACATGCTGGCTCCCTCTCCTCCACGACATCCCTTCAGGTATGGACTGCACACTTGATGTATCATCATCATCATCATCATCATCATCAGAAAACATGCTGGCTCCCTCTCCTCCACGACATCCCTTCAGGTATGGACTGCACACTTGATGTATCATCATCATCATCATCATCATCATCATCAGAAAACATGCTGGCTCCCTCTCCTCCACGACATCCCTTCAGGTATGGACTGCACACTTGATGTATCATCATCATCATCATCATCAGAAAACATGCTGGCTCCCTCTCCTCCACGACATCCCTTCAGGTATGGACTGCACACTTGATGTATCATCATCATCATCATCATCATCATCATCATCATAAAACATGCTGGCTCCCTCTCCTCCACGACATCCCTTCAGGTATGGACTGCACACTTGATGTATCATCATCATCATCATCAGAAAACATGAGCAAAGCATTTCCCACAGTGCCGGCATTCATAGGCTTTCTCTCCTGTGTGGACTCTCAGGTGACACTTAAGGTCTCCCTTATGAGCAAAGCCTTTCCCACAGTGCTGGCATTTGAAGGGTTTCTCTCCTGTGTGGACTCTCAGGTGACACTTAAGGTTTCCCTTACGAGCAAAGCCTTTACCACAGTGCTGGCATTTGTAGGGTTTCTCTCCTGTGTGGACTCTCAGGTGACACTCAAGGTGTCCCTTACGAGCAAAGCCTTCCCCACAGTGCTGGCATTTGTAGGGTTTCTCTCCTGTATGGACTCTCAGGTGACACTTCAGGTGTCCCTTCCAAGCAAAGCATTTCCCACAGTGCTGGCATTTGAAGGGTTTCTCTCCTGTGTGGACTCTCAGGTGACACTCAAGGGATCCCTTATGAGCAAAGCCTTTCCCACAGTGCTGGCATTTGTAGGGTTTCTCTCCTGTGTGGACTCTCAGGTGACACACAAGGACTCCCTTATGAGCAAAGCATTTCCCACAGTGCCGGCATTCATAGGCTTTCTCTCCTGTGTGGACTCTCAGGTGACACTTAAGGTCTCCCTTATGAGCAAAGCCTTTCCCACAGTGCTGGCATTTGAAGGGTTTCTCTCCTGTGTGGACTCTCAGGTGACACTTAAGGTTTCCCTTACGAGCAAAGCCTTTACCACAGTGCTGGCATTTGTAGGGTTTCTCTCCTGTGTGGACTCTCAGGTGACACTCAAGGTGTCCCTTACGAGCAAAGCCTTCCCCACAGTGCTGGCATTTGTAGGGTTTCTCTTCTGTATGGACTCTCAGGTGACACTTCAGGTGTCCCTTCCAAGCAAAGCATTTCCCACAGTGCTGGCATTTGAAGGGTTTCTCTCCTGTGTGGACTCTCAGGTGACACTCAGGGGATCCCTTCTGAGTAAAGCCTTTCCCACAGTGCTGGCATTTGTAGGGTTTCTCTCCTGTGTGGACTCTCAGGTGACACTTAAGGTCTCTCTTATGAGCAAAGCCTTTCCCACAGTGCCGGCATTTGTAGGGTTTCTCTCCTGTGTGGACTCTCAGGTGACGCTCAAAGTGTACCTCCTGAACAAAGCATTTCCCACAGTGCTGACACTTGTGGGTTTGGAGATGTCCGGCAAGATGCAACTTGCGCCTAAGATGGCGGCTGCCCTTCATGCTTGCTTTTGTGGCCCACCAGTTATCTCCTATAAAGAAGGACAAGGATAGACAAGTGTGAATCCAGACATTCAGGGAAGAAGAACCTTTTGGAGTGCTGATGGGGAAATGGGAATGGAGGAAGAAGTGGAGAGTAGTCAGGCGTGCAGAGGACGGAGGGGTGAGAGACTACAGCAAAGCTGCAGAAGAATCAGGCCACCCAATAGGCTAGTCAAAACTGGAAATGGGAAGGATGGGTTTGCAGGCCAATGAGGTGGTGGTCGGTTGAGGGGGTGAGGAGAGGGCAACTGGGCTGATAGCCTTGGGCCAGGTGTGACCTTGCTCTTGGGATGACAAGCGGGGACACTCTCCTCTCAGGGTCCTACTTTGGCCTCTCTCTGCGCATATGCTCATCCTTACCAGAGTATACCCATCCACAAACATGGGCATGCATTTAGACAAAACCACAAGACCAGTGTTAACCGGTTGTGATTACTCTGAAGGACACATGAGTGGACCTGAGAGCCCAGGGCTGCCTGGGAAGGCTTCGCTTTCTGGACTCTTGTGGGCCTTCCCAGAGGCACCTTCCAGACCCAGAGAAGGACTGGTTGGGAATTGCTCACTGTTGCTAAGGGGAACCCCTTGATGTTCCTGGAAAACAAGGACCTGAGCTGAAGAGGACATTCAAGGTTGAGGAATTGAAAGGGCCCTGACTCTCCTGAGGAAAGGGAATGTTTTGGAGGTCCTTACGCAGGAAGGCCACATTCTCATAGGTCTCCATCATGACCTCCTCATACAAGGCCCTCTGCTTCTTGCCCAGCAACCTCCATTCCTCCTCTGTGAAGTAGATGGCCACATCTTTGAAGTTCAAGGTCACCTGCAACAGAAAATAGGTGCCACTCAGGGAACGGCTTCTCCAAACTGGAGGGGAACGTTGGTGCCTCCCAAAGAGTGGCCGGATTGCTCCAGAAGGCAGACGAGAGCGGGACATGTTTGGCCCTTTTCCCATTTCCTTTTGAAGAGGAGTACACGAGGGAAAAGACCAGAGTTCATCTGGATTCCTGATGAGCTAGATTGCATACGGGAAAGGAGATGTCACTTGGCAAGGGGATGCTCTTCCCCATCTGCATGACGCATTGGCAGAACTCTAGGGCTGAGGATGGGATTTGCAGTCCATACAGTGAAGACCTTCCACCTAAAGAGACTCTTCCCATCCTTGATGTTTAGGTAAGGCAACCACAAATGAAATCCTTAGCAACGACTGCCTTCCGTGGAGCTGAAGACACCAGTTCTCCCAGTCGGGGCCTCCTTCCTCCAAAGGGGTCTTTCCAGCCCAGCCCCAAACCCAGGAGTCCAGTCATTCTGCCCTTGGGAGGAACGGTTGGTGGTCCCAGTTGAAGACCCCTCCCAAGGGCCCTATCCGAAAGAAAGAAAAAAAGAACGAAATAAAGAAAGGAAAGAAAGGAAAGAAGGAAAGAAAGAGAACGAAAGAAAAGAAAGAAGGAAGGGACGGAGGGGGGAAGGAAGGACAGAAGGAAGGAAGGAAGGAAGGAAGGAAGAGAAGGAAGGAAGGAAGAGAGGGAAGGGAGAGGAGGAAGAAGGAAGGAAGGAAGGGAGGAGGGAGGAGGAGGAGGAGGGAGGGAAGAAGGGGGAAGGGAAGAAGGAAGAAGGGGAGAAAGAAAGGAAGGAAGGAGGAAGGAAGGAAGGAAGGAGAAGGAAAGAGGAAGGGAGAGAGGAAGAAAGGAAGGAAGGAGGAGGAAGGAAGGAAGAAGGAAGAAAAGGAAGGAAGGAAGGAAGGAAGGAAAGAAGAGAAAGGAAAAGGAAGGAAGATGGGAGGGAGGGAGGAAAGAAAGGAGGGAGGGAGGAGAGAAAGAAAAGGAAGGAAAGGAAAGAAGGAAAAGAAGGAAGGAGGTGGAAGGAAAGAAAGAAAGAAAGAAAAGAGGGGAAGGAGGAAAGGAAGAGAAGAAGGGAAGAAGAAAGAGAAGGAAGGGAAGAGGAAGGGAAGGAAGGAGGAAGGAGGGAGGAGGAGAGAAAAAAGGAGAAAGAAGAGGAAGAAGGAAGAAGGGAGGGAGGAAAGAAGGAGAAAAGAAAGAAGGAAGGAGGGAAGAAGGAAGGAGGAAGGAGGAAGGAAGGAAGGAAGGAAGGAAGGACGAAGGGAGGGAGGAAGGGGAAGAAGAAGAGGGAGGAGGGAGGGAGAAGAAAGAGGGAAAGAGGAAGGAAAGGAAGGAAGAATAAGGAAGGAAGGAAGGAGGAAGGAAAGGAAGGAGGAAGGAAGAAGGAGGGGAGGAGAGAAATAAAGAAGAAAGAAGGAAGGGAAAGAAGGATGGAAAGAAGGAGAAGGAAGGAAACGACAGAAAGAAGGAAGGGACTTGGCTAACCTGTCCCGGGGGCATCTTTCTTGCACCTTCTTCCACAGAGGAGGAGTTCACTGGGTTGTCTTCTCTCCGTGTGTCTGGAGACTCTGCAGGCCAAGTTCGGACTCAGGCACACCTGCAGGGAGTACAAATGGAGGTGCTTCACGCAGGCATGCGGCCATACACAGACCACCAAGAGACAACGAAATCACTCCAAGAGCAGATCAAGCCTGAGGTTTCCCTGGATGTCAGAATAACTGAGGCTATGGTAATGTGGACCCCAAAACACCTGCATCTAGAATGACCCACAGGACTGAGCCCAAGGCAGGAGTGGCAAGCGGTTGATGGACTACAATTCCCAGCACACACACACACACACCCTAGAGGCCTCTGGGAGCTGTAGGTCATCAATATCTGGAAAGCCACAGAATGACCACATGTTTAGAGTGGCTTGTAGGTCTTCTCCTGAATGTGCAGAGAGTACATTATCATCAGCATATTGGAGTTCTATAACAGACATTATTGTGAACTTGGTTTGGTCTTTCAGTCTGCTGAGGTGAAAGAGCTTGCCACCAATAATATATTACACATTTGGTTATATCGGTTTCCTTCCACTTACATTCCAGCCCTCTGGAACTCCCTCCTTCCTTCAGGTTTCCTTCTAATAGGTCTGAATAACTGTTACATCCAACCAAATCTTTAAAGACATTTTGCTCTTACTTTATACCAGAAATATAACATTTCCTAAGTGATCTGGCCCTTTCAGCGCGTGCATTTTCTTTTATCCCCATGCTTTTCAAGCGTCTTGAGGTAAAATCCTGAGGTAAAATTCAGGTTTTGTTCTATGGGGCCTGAATAACGCACCAGAGTACCATGAAGCCTCACAGGCCCCCTCTACTCTGCCATATTATAAAATCCAGATGATCTGCTTCGAACTGAGTTATACGGCAGTGTAGACTCCTATAAGCCAGTTCAAAGCAGATCATGTGGAGTATCTGCTTCGATAATCTGGGTTATATGGCCGCATAGAAGGGGCCTCCAACTCTTTTCATAGGTGCCCTCAGCTTCTCTCCATGGCGACGAAAATCCTGACTGAGAAGAACGTTGTATGGAATGTGTATGGTTCCTCTCACATTTCAGGGGCAGAAGTCAAGGGCTGGCTCTACACCAGAGAAGGAACACCCAAGATGGAGTGGGTGAGGGATTAGAGGACATCCAACCCCAAATTGGGAAACAAGTCGTCCAGGAATACCTGGCCGCTCTAAATGAGTTCAAGTCCCCAGGGCCAGATCAACTACACCCAAGAGTATTGAAGGAACTAGCGGAAGTCATTTCGGAACCATTGGCAACCATCTTTGAGAGTTCTTGGAGAACGGGAGAAGTTCCAGCAGATTGGAGGAGGGCCAATGTGGTCCCAATCTTCAAGAAGGGAAAAAAGGATGACCCAAACAATGACCAATGTCCGGTCAGCCTCACGTCGATACCAGGCAAGATTCTGGAAAAGATGGTCAAGGACGTGGTCTGCAAACACTTAGAAACAAATGCGGTCATCGCTAAGAGTCAACATGGATTTATCAAAAACAAGTCATGCCAGACTCATCTGATCTCTTTTTTCGATAGACTTACAAGCTGGGTACATGCGGGGAATGATGCCGTGGATGTGGCGTACCTGGATTTCAGGAAGGCCTTCGACAAGGTCCCCCATGACCTTCTGGCAAGGAAACTAGTCCAATGTGGGCTAGACAAAACTACGGTGAGGTGGATCTGTAATTGGTTAAATGGACGAACCCAGAGGGTTCTCACCAATGCTTCCTCTTCATCCTGGAAAGAAGTGAAGTGGAGTGCCGCAGGGTTCCGTCCTGGGCCCGGTCCTGTTCAACATCTTTATTAATGACTTAGATGAAGGGCTAGAAGGCAGGATCATCAAGTTTGCAGACGACACCAAATTGGGAGGGAGAGCCAATACTCCAGAGGACAGGAGCAGGACTCAAAACGATCTTGACAGATTAGAGAAATGAAGGGCCAAAACTAACAAAATGAAGTTCAACAGTGACAAATGCAAGATACTCAATTTAGGCAGGAAAAACGAAATGCAAAGATACAGAATGGGGGACGATGGTGCCCGGCTCGAGAGCAGGACGTGTGAAAAAGATCTTGGAGTCCTCGTGGACAGGAAGTTAAACATGAGCCAGGAATGTGATGTGGCGGCAAAAAAAGCCAATGGGATTTTGGCCTGCATCATAAGGAGCATGGTGTCTAGATCTAAGGAAGTAATGCTACCCCTCTATTCTGCTTTGGTTAGACCACATCTGGAATATTGTGTCCAATCCGATCCCAGCGCTCCACCCGCCTCCTCTCCTCTCCCCAATCCATGGGTGGGCCAAGGGGCGGAGCCGCCGCGCCTGGCCCGCTTTGGGTCCGGAGGCGTGTCTGAAGACCCCAGCGTGCGCACCAAAAGTCACCTCTTCTCCTGACTTTCTCTTCAGCCATTGGGACCAAGAGAGAGAGAGAGAGAGAGAGAGAGCCCCTCCGGCTGGAGGTATCTCCCACCTCCGCTCCCTCCTTTGTTTTTGCGCCTACCTTCAGGAAAGGTGGGCATCTCCACCTCTCTCTCTCTCTCTCTCTCTCGGTCCCAATGGCTGAGGAGGTGACTTTTGGTGCACACGCCGGGGTCTTCAGGCACGCCTCCGGATCCAAAGCAGGCCAGGCAAGGGAGCAAATGCGGCAAAGTGAACTATTACTGGGATGTATAGTTCACTTACAATCAAAGAGCATTCTGAACTCCACCAATGATGGAATTGAACCAAATATGGCACACAGAACTCCCACGACAAACAGAAAATATATATCAATGATTGGTTGGGGGGGGGCAAAATACTGTTTGCTTACCGTTGAAAATTACCTAGGGCCGCCTCTGAGAGCAGGCATGTTCAGCACATGGCAGCGTGCAAGGGAGAGCGTGCGAGGCTGGAGGGAAGGCTTGCAAGTCCCTTCAAGGCAGGGGGGAAAGTGCCCACTCGACATGGGACTGAGAGTGGCCCAGCAGCATCAGGAGGAGGAGGACCAGCAGCTTAGGTAAATGTAATGCTATTTATTAGGGAAAAAACTCAGTATTTCCTTATTTTTTAATTAATGCTCCCAATAGAAAATGCATAAAGATGTGGGTGAACTACAATTCCCAAAGTTGTGGGTCAATCCTCCCCAAACCTTGCTAATATTCAAAGTTGGCCGTGTTAGGTCTGTCTGCCAAGTTTGGTCCAGATGCATCATTGTTTGAGTCCACAGTGCTCTCTGGATGTAGGTGAACTACAACTCCAAAACTCAAGGTCAGTGCCCACCAAATCCTTCCAGTATTTTCTGTTGGTCATGGGAGTTCTGTGTGCCAAGTTTGGTTCAATTCCATCGTTGGTGGAGTTCAGAATGCTCTTTGATTGTAGGTGAACTATAAATCCCAGCAACTACAACTCCCAAATGACAAAATCAACCCCCCCCCCCCCCGCAACCCCACCAGTATTCAAATTTGGGCATATCGGGTATTTGTGCTAAATTTGGTCCAGTAAATGAAAATACATCCGGGAGATCAGATATTAACAGGCACAAAATTACAGTTATGAAGTAGCAATGAAAATAATTTTATGTTTGGGGATCATCACAACATGGGGAACTCTGTTAAGGAGTCGCGGCATTAGGGAGGTCGAGAACCACTGATCTGAAGGGATTAGGACAGGCAGGAGTCAGTTCAGCACCCTTGGCGATCATCCTTGAGAATTCCTGGAGGAAAGGAGGCGGGGGCTGATTCTTGGGTCACATTCAGCCCTGGAAGGGGGCCGTGATTCAAAGGTATGGTGGGCCAGGAGCAGGAGATTGGGGTGAGAAACGGGGAGTGGGGTGGGTGGGGTGGGGGTGGAGGTGTCAAAAATCATAATTCTGGAACATTATTATTAGATTTATTTATATTCCGCTTTTTCTCTCCATGCGGACACTTAAAGCAGCTCACAACTAAAAGCATTGCAATACTGGGTGGCCTCTCCAAGCGGTTTCATGTATATGTTAATCTGCATAGGGACAAAACGGAACCCTGAGGAACCCCACAGGTCAACAGCCAGGGGTTCGAACGGGAGTCCCCCAGCACCACCTTCTGGGTATGGCCCTCCAGGAAAGAACAGTCACTGTAAAGCCATGCCTTCAAGTCCATTCCCAGCGAGACGACCCGGAAGGACACCATGGTCAATGGTATCGAAAGCCGCTGAGAGATGCAAAAGAACCAACGGGGACAAACTCCCCCTCTCTAGCTCTCTGCAAAGGTCTTCCACGAAGTGATCCACCAAGTGAGTGAAGGTACTGCAAGTCCTATGGATGATGGCACTTCCTGAAACCACAGTGACACTCATCCAAATACCAATAAAGACCAAACTTGGCACAGAGAGTCCCTATGGCCAACTCAATATTCTGGTGAGGTTTGGGGGAGAACAGAGTATGGTAATAATAATAATAATAATAATAATAATAATAATAATAATAACTTTATTTGTACCCCGCTAGCATTTCCCGAAGGATTCGATGCGGCTCACAATAGGCCGAAGCCCAACGCAATACAACAATACAATATCTAGCAAATAAAAACAGTTAAGCAGAAAAACAATAACAATAGCAATACGACAAGACATTATTAAAAACTGAGTCGGCCGGAGTAGGGGTACAAGGTTAAAAGTGCTGATGTATCGGAGGGGTGTGGGATTATGATATAAGTGAGGTGTGCAGTGTGTGGTGATTTGGTACTAAAGTGCTTCTGGGATTTGGACTTCAAGTATCTCCACTCCCTTCCCAAGACTTCTGCACCACTCATCTAATGACCAATCAAGACCAAACTTGGCACACAGAGCCCCCATGACCCAGCCTACATCCCGGTGCTGCTTGAAGGTGGACGGAATGGATGATGGGACTTGCAGTATCTTCACTCACTTCCTGAAACCACAGGAACAATCATCCAAATACCAATAAAAGCCAAACTTGGCACAGAGAGCTCCCATAGCCAACTCAACATTCTGGTGAGGTTTGGGGGATAACAGACTATGGATGATGGGACTTCAAGTACCTTAACTCACTTCCCAAGTCTTCTGCACCACTCATCTAATGACCAATCAAGACCAACCTTGCCACACAGAGCTCCCATGACCAACTCTCCATCCTGGTGCAGTTTGGAGGAGGATGGACCACAGATGATGGGACTCGCAGTACCTTCACTATCTTCCTGAGGCCACTGTGAGTCATATAAATAACTGATAAAGACCAACCTTGATACACAATTCCTTTCTCAAATAAACCGGGCAGTGCCGGGTCCCCAAGCTAGTAATAAAAATAAGATAAGATAAGATAATAATAAAATTTATTTATATTCTGCCCTATATTCCTGGAGGGACTCAGGGCAGGTTTCAAACATAAAAGGCAAACGTTCAATGCCCGAATACAACAATACATCCATGCTAACAAAATGTAACAACCCAACATATAAACATGAATTATGACTTAACAACTAAAATTAAATAAAAACGCAGCCTGTTATAACAGACATAAGGCAAAACATCAAACAGAAGCAACAATTTCCCATGGCTCCATAGGGTGCTCACCAACGGCATCTGTGATAAGTGTTCCCCCAGTTTGAGGTGACTTCCCAATGAAGTAAAATCAAATCAAGACCAGCATAAGGAGAGTGGGGAACAGTCTCATAAAAGCACTGTATATTAAATTCTAAAAGGCTGAGAAAGAGAGGAAACCCTCTGTGTGTTCCTGCCTCCAATGAGGTCACCAAAAGTGCACAGGCACCACATAATCCCGCTCTCCACAAGGAACATCTCAACATTCAGTGAAAGACATAATCCCCTTCCCAGCAAAGCCTTTCCCACAGTGTTGGCATTTGTAGGGTTTCTCTCCTGTGTGGACTCTCAGATGAATCTCAAGGTCTGGCTTCCAAGCAAAGCATTTCCCACAGTGCTGGCATTTGAAGGGTTTCTCTCCTGTGTGGACTCTCAGGTGACGCTCAAAGTTTGCCTTCTGAGCAAAGCCTTTCCCACAGTGCTGGCATTTGAAGGGCTTCTCTCCTGTGTGGACTCTCAGGTGACACTTAAGGTCTCCCTTATGAGCAAAGCCTTTCCCACAGTGCTGGCATTTGAAGGGTTTCTCTCCTGTGTGGGCTCTCATGTGACGCTCAAAGTTTGCCTTCTGAGCAAAGCCTTTCCCACAGTGCGGGCATTTGAAGGGCTTCTGTCCTGTGTGGACTCTCAGGTGACACTTAAGGTCTCTCTTCTGAGCAAAGCCTTTCCCACAGTGTTGGCATTTGAAGGGTTTCTCTCCTGTGTGGACTCTCAGGTGACGCTCAAAGTTTGCCTTCTGAGCAAAGCCTTTCCCACAGTGCTGGCATTTGAAGGGCTTCTCTCCTGTGTGGACTCTCAGGTGACACTTAAGGTCTCCCTTATGAGCAAAGCCTTTCCCACAGTGCTGGCATTTGTAGGGTTTCTCTCCTGTGTGGACTCTCAGGTGACACTCAAAGTTTGCCTTCTGAGCAAAGCATTTCCCACAGTGCTGACACTTGTGGGTTTGGAGATGTCCGGCAAGATGCAACTTGCGCCTAAGATGGCGGCTGCCCTTCATGCTTGCTTTTGTGGCCCACCAGTTATCTCCTATAAAGAAGGATAAGGATAGAAAAGTGTGAATCCAAACATTCAGGGAAGAAGAACCTTTTGGAGTGCTGATGGGGAAATGGGAATGGAGGAAGAAGTGGAGAGTAGTCAGGCGTGCAGAGGACGGAGGGGTGAGGGACTACAGCAAAGCTGCAGAAGAATCAGGCCACCCAATAGGCTAGTCAAAACGGGAAGCGGGAAGGATGGGTTTGCAGGCCAATGAGGTGGTGGTCGGTTGAGGGGGTGAGGAGAGGGCAACTGGGCTGATAGCCTTGGGCCAGGTGTGACCTTGCTCTTGGGATGACAAGCGGGGACACTCTCCTCTCAGGGTCCCATTTCTGCCTCTCTACCAGAGTATACCCATCCACAAACATGGGCATGCATTTAGACAAAACCACAAGACCAGTGTTAACGGGTTGTGATTACTCTGAAGGACACACGAGTAGACCTGAGAGCCCAGGGCTGCCTGGGAAGCCTTTGCTTTCTGGACTCTTGTGGGCCTTCCCAGAGGCACCTTCCAGACCCAGAGAAGGACTGGTTGGGAATTGCTC